TAATTTTCTTAAAATGTTTTTAATGGTTTCGTCTTCAAATATGTATATAAATCCACGTAGAAAACCCCTCGTTCAATTGACCTTCAATTGTCTTTGTGCTCTAATGTGACCAAATAAAGGAATAGATCCTTTTTAAAAGAACCTAATCTATTTAAAAGTAGGCCTCATGTATACTTGAAGTCATCGTTTCTATGCTCATGGAACGCTAAAAAGTGTATTAAATTATTTAATTCAGTTTCTATATTAAATTGAACTGAATGCTCAGCTCTAACGAGATTGTCGCTGATGAAGGTCGAGCGGTGTAGCAGCGATTAGCAAACTGTCGTTGAGTTACCTCATCTGAAACACATCGTTCGGAAGTAAGTTGGAGAGTCGTACAACTTCCAGCGTGCACAAGATTAGTGTAGGAGCAACAGTAAGAAGCTTCAATAAATATGTCAACGAGCGTAACTTCGCAGGTCAAAATGATTCAAGAAATACCTCGAGTGTCCAACACAGTAATTCGTATAACTATCTGATGAGATTTTCTGATTTTAAAGTCGTAATGTTAGAAGGGGTAAAAAATTAAAGAAAATGCTATACAAGTGCTCTCATCATGACATAAAACACAGTCATACAAGGCAACTTCCTACTGGCAAAACTTATAGCAATATAGATATTAAACCAGGAAAAGTGAGGAAAATTACTATTATTATTACTACAACCAGCAATATTTAACATGCCAGCGAGTTTCAAGATCTTTCTATCGTGGGTCAGTAGATCTACTGCAGTGTTTTTTAAGTATTTACTTATATTCTTGTGTTAACACCTGACTATGTTCTTCCCTCCTGCTTATAAACTGTGCTTCCACCACGTACAATCTGTCACGCAACACACTAGTAATTCATGTACTTCGCACATTGAGATCAGCACTTCACCGAGTCTGCTCTCTCTCCTTTTAACATCGTCACTGCGCACCGTGTGCGCAATCGCCTTCTTCGTGGTACCTTCTCGGACACGACAAGACAGACTCTGGCAACACTCCTGACAGCCACCCTGCAGGCGGAACTGTGCAACCTTCCCAGTATCAAGGACTCTTTCATAACCGTCAGCTGTAACGATGACGATGCTGACGAGATGAGATCACCACCAAATCGGCAAAGAACGTTCTCAAGGACCGTGATTTGGAAGTGCCTCCTTTCCCTGAGTTGAGGGCCAAGAAATCGGTGTTCGTAAAGAAGATTAATGACGACGTCACCAGCCAATGAATAGGAGGCTTGACACAACTAACTGAAGATCAAAATGACTGAGCCACCGTCTACTCCTTCACAAAAGTTCCACCTGCCAGCTTTATGATCAAGGACTCAGTGAAGGTCTACTCATCTCATCTTAACAAATTAATCCCAGGAATATTCTATATCATCCTACGTTGGAACTCTTATTCACATACCCACCTCACCAAGGACTGCCATTTGAAGGCTTTAAGTACCTCCAACTCCGGCACAAGACACACTTATATGGACTTCGCCTCGACCTCAACGAAATGTCTCGACTACAAAATGATCACCACACTCATGCAGCCACGCGCTCTTATAGGAAGGAAATCATCAATAAGAAAAACTCGAGACTCCGACTCTCGCTTGAAATCACTAAACTTCTAGACGATACTCAAAGAATTTCCCAAGTTTTCCAGCAGCCTACTTCTGCTACCAACCTTATTCCAATACTTTCAATACTCCCAGATGGCGCTCCCAAGAAGATCATGTACTGCATGACATACATGTACATGATGAGCGCCGCCTGTCCTGGAACCTTCAGCTCCACAATAAATGATCTCTTCCACCTCAACTACCTTCCCCGCTTCAATTTTCCTGATACTGCACCATCAGCACAAATACAGATCGTCTCCACCCTAGCCGAATCTCCAACCACAGCCGCCCAAATCCACTGCTGACCCACTAGCAGCCGAAATCACCCCACCTGCCCAGATAGCCACCATCTTCACACCCACTGCGACTCCAACAGAAGATCAAGACTCTCACACCTCCGAAGACGAATATGAAGTCAATGATCACATAATTTCGATTCTTCACCGCACTTTCGAACAAGAACATCTTGTTCGCCAAAGCACTTCACCCTAGACTCTGCAGAGGAGCTGTCAATTACACCTTCGTTGCTCAGTATAAAATTTCACACTACGACAAGTCCATGATTCTGTGAAAACAGTCATCGAAGACTTTGACATTTATAAACAGCTCACGCACCTAACAAGCAGCATTTAAAAATTTTAGGACTGGATTGTTCCAAACAATACAGTAAATTGAACTCATGAACTGTACCTAACAGCTATCCCCAGCCTTAATACAGTTACCTCTCGCCATCTAGCTCTCCACTTTTGAGTTAAACCCTGGCTCTGTTTCTACGAGTAAAGCCACTCCTCCCCGGGGATATTCTTCACCTAACCACACTTCCTTGCTCTCTTCTTACCTGAGAGTTAGATAGTCAAGTTAGATCTATTAGATTTGAAGCCTGATGTGCAGGTGAATCGTCGTCTACATGACATTTCAAAATCCTGCTTGTGAGTATTTACTACAGCCCCCAGAGTTGCTACAGCATTACCTATCCTTCAGAGTGCAGGTTCTGTAATTCTCCATTTGAGAATCGCACCAAAACACATCCTTGAGGGTGCAGGCAATGTACTTCCCACCTGTAGAATCGCAATAATCGCACTCAGTAACGGAGACTGTATATCTCATCTCAAGCACCACATCTCATCCATCCTGTTAACATAGAGGATAACATTGAGCGAAACTGGAAGAAGCGCAGTCAGAGATGTGTTTCAAAACAAAATCATAAATACTACAAACAATAACAAAAGGACTCACGATCGCCTTTTGTTTCAGTGAGTCAGCAGGATCGCAGTTATTGAGCCAAGCTCAGCACAACATGCTCCTCGCGAGATTCTACACACACTGGTGGAAGCAGGTGGAAACGTCAACTTTACTTACAAATTAACATTATGATCTATTGTATTTAGAGTAAGGAGTGGTGGAGAGTTAAACCTTCGTCTACCAATCACGGCTAGGTTTCTCTCCGCGAAACCAATGAGAGAGTTTTCCAGAAAGCTCATTCAAGAAAAAGTATTCAAGAATGCTTATTCAGGAAACCTGCTTATTCAAGAAAGTTTACTAGAGGAAGCTCAATCAAGAAAGCTTAATCAGGAGAGCTTGTTCAAGAAAGCTTATTAAAAAAATTAATTCAAGAAAATATATCGCAAAATATTATAAAGTACACAGTACTTAATCCACAACGCCAGACTCCAGACTCATCCTTGAGTTATACTCACGACAACGCTGCCTCTCCATAACTATCTTACCTCCGAGTGCAGAAGATTCACAGAGCTTCCTTCAACTTCTTGGTATAGTTTGCCAAACAGTCGTGATTTATGTGGTCTGCTTTTTATATAGTTCACCATTTTTGCAGCTTTGTCTAGTACATACTTCAACTTACTTCCTATTGTTCTCGCAAGCAGCACATCACGACTGAGAAAATGTATGACATTATTTTTTTTTCTATACTAAGGATACAAATCCTTTCATTGAGCCAACCAATGTACAAATTCCTACACAGAATTTCCAGGACAAAAGAAGAACTTCCAAGTACTTAATGTGAATATATTTTGGCCCACTGTTGTTTCTTTAAGTTTTTACAGAAGAATGTTTTACTAGTTTATCATTACTAATGTAGTGAATGAGTGCTAATAGTTAAACCTTCCCTCAAATATCTGTAGACTCGTGTACTTGGAGTGCAAAAATTTCACTTGTATGTCTGCTGAGGTATCAAGTATCCGTCTGTTAATGATATTATCTGAGAGCGAAATCTTAACTTCTTTTTCTTCTTCAGTGCCAAACTTGGTCTTTAACTATGACACTGCAAGCAGGGGGAGTAAGTGTGTGTGTTTCTGTACATGGCCTTATATTTTAAGCGAGTAATTCTGCTATTACGTAGCTGGCCTCGAACTTTTTTCAGAAACTTTGACTGTTTTAGAAAATATCAGCTCTGTTGTCTTCGCTCTTTTAAAAGTCTCTCAAAGTATGATCGAGGGTTGTTGGTAAGATGAACATGTTTCATAGCGAAATATCTCTCTCTTTCCTGGATACCATGACTTCATTGTCCAGTTTATCACCGCAAATAAGACATTCTGGCGTAGGATTAACTTCATCACCATAACATTTAAATCCCAGATCTAAATGACTGTCCCAATATAAACGACTTTTCTTTCTTCTAATCACAACAGTTTTACAGAAAGTTGGAACTGTTCTTTTTTTTCACTCATATTTCCACCTTTGTCTTCCTTTTTGTCCTCAACACAATCATCATATTTTCGCTTCTTGATCACAAACTTATCCATATTAAGTTAAAGGGCAAGTCACTGGTTAACACATCTGTGGTTATACTAAAATAAGTGACTCGTGACATCTTCCTGGGAAGTCAACACGTCAAAACTAATCATGTATAGGACAGCACAAATTGTAAAGTTGTAAAGAAAATGATGATGGTAAACCCAACGTAAATAATGACTTACGTAATTTATTTTCAAACATAATGCCTTTAGTTTTAATTTTAATCATATATTTATTATACTATAATAGTTCATTGTTTAATGAAATGATCGAAAAAATTATAACAGCTCTTCTGTGGCACACAGTGGGAAACTAACAGTGGCACACAAGGTTGACAAACACTGTCTACCAGTGGCACACTGGTTGACAAAAACTGCAAAAGACTTTAGTCGATGCAGAATAGGGCCTATATCGGGCAGTACTGTTGCTCCTGTCTAGAAAACACTGAATCTGTTTTCGGTATGCCATCCGTCTACATTATATGAGATTCTCTACAAGGATTTTGTCTACAGTATAAGTTTTCATATGTACACTATATAAATTCCTGTATACATTACTGGTACTAAAAGCACATTTCGTAGAGAAGTCAGAGAGGTGTGAAAAATACACGTGTGTTACCTGGACACCCGTGGTCTGCGTTCTCCTTCACGGTCAACTTCTCCAGCTCTGAAACCAGACATGAGTACACTGTTAGAAGCTTGTAAATAAAAGACACAGATTGCAGAACACGCTTTTAATTTGTCAGTGTTTCGTTCTATGAAGATCTATGGGAAAAGCTGTGTTGAGCGAGGTAAATTACATAAGATACAAAGCCGTTGCATGTATAGATTATTGTTTATATTACTGTTTATACAGGATGACAGTGTATACTGTCACCCAGTATACACTGTCACCCTGTATATACTGCCACCCTGTATATACTGCCACCCTGTATATACTGTTCTCCTGTATATACTGTGACCCTATATATACTGTCATTCAGTATATGCTCTCACCCAATATATACTGTCACCCTGTATATACTGTCACCCAGTATATACTGTCGCCCAGTATATGCACTGTCACCTTGTATATACTGTCAGCCTGTATATACTGTCACCTGTATATACTGTCACCTGTATATACTCTCACCAAGAATATACTGTCACCCTGCATATACCTGTCACCCTGTATATACTTTCACCCAGTATATTACTCTACTCTCACCCAGCATACACTGCCGCCCAGCATATACTCTTATCCAGTATATACTCTCACCCAGTATATACTCTCACCCAGGATATACTCTTTCCCTGCATATACTCTTAGAAGCTTCAGTATTTAGCTCACATAAAAATGACCTGGATTTCTAACTATAATTTATTCACAAAAAAAAACTAACCAACAAAATCCACATCATAACACTATTCTTAAAATTCAACTTGTTCAGTGAGTTGTGTCTGTGGTGAATGTGTTAATTATCTCACATGACCAATTTGCTTCAACTGGATATTAGTGTATAACTAATTGGGAATTATTTGTCATGTGCTGAGAATACTTAATATGCAACGACGACATACTACCTATTTATTGTACACAGTTTGTCTGCGTTGTTTATACTTTCGGTGAGATGTGTACTTGTGTTGTACACAACTTATAGGTTCTGTACATACATTATATGTGTTGTACGTATTTCATATTTTACCATACCCCCGGCCGGGATTGAACCCGCGGTCATAGAGTCTCAAAACTCCAGCCCGTCGCGTTAGCCACTAGACCAGCTAGCCACAATAAGATTCATCCAACTAGGTATATTTCTACACCATAGGAAAGTTAGCACAGGCACCTCTGTGACCACAAATGCAAGTTTTTACAGACGAATCTCCAGCTAGCGTGGCCGTGACCGTGTGGCTAGCTGGTCTAGTGGCTAACGCGACGGGCTGGAGTTTTGAGACTCTATGACCGCGGGTTCAATCCCGCCCGGGGGTATGGTTTATTTGCAATCGTGTCATTACGATTTCTTGATTCATATTTTACATATGTTCAATTTTTGGATATGTTATAAATACCTTATATATTCTTTTTATACATGTATGTGTTGTACATAATTTATATGGGTTGTAAATACTTGTACATGTACTCACATAACTGTACTCACCTAATTTTGATTACAAGAGTCAAGTCTCAGCTCCTAGCCCCGCCTGTCTGAAGGACGTTATTGGATTCTATCTATCTTCTGGCTGTGTGAGCCCTTTCATACCTATTCTTAAAACTTTGTATGACTCCCGCCAATACCAGTCTAGTTCATTCCACGTTTTGACCACACTAAGGTTAAACAAATGTTTCCTAACATCCCTGTGATTTATATGTGCTTTTGCTTGCAGTTATGTCCTCGTGTACCTGAGACTTGCCTCACGAATAAGCTTGCTCTGTTCACCCTGTCAGTTCCTCTCGGTATTTTGTAGGTTGTAATCATATCTCCTCTGGTCTATATTTTCTGTAATGTTGCTAGCTTTAGCTTCTCTAGCCTCTCATTGCATATACTCATCAGCTCTGGGACTGGTTTCGTTGAAAAACTTATTTTTCCAGCTTATTTACTTGTTTTATCAGGGTTCCATACTGGCTCTGCATACTCCAAGGTGGGCTTGACTTATGTCATGTATAGGGTCCTGGAAGCTTCTCTCAGATTTGCCAGTCATACATCTGTTTCAGTATGAACATTAAAATGGTATAAAATACCGACAGGTTTCAGTAGTTATTCCGTTGATGTGTCTTAGGTGATAGGCATGGTACTATGCCCACCCTAAGGTCCATCACCTTCAAGGAAGTCAACAGCCTTTGTTCTGAGAGCCTGAACACTGTTTCCGGTTGTCTTTGCCCTACCCTGAATTTCATAACCGCATTTGTCGAAGTGAAATTCCAATAACCACTTGTCAAAACCAATCCTGTAGCTTGTACACGTCCATTTATAGTCTTTCCTGACCTACTCCTTTCTATATTATTCTCATTAGTCTCACATCATCTTCAAACCGGGACACCTCTGACTCGATTTCCACTGTCATGCCTTTTGCAGACACAAACATTCCCGGTCCAAGTGTTGACCCTTGTCTAACCCCACTCGTCACACTCACACATAACGACACCGGCTTCTGGATGATAACTCGTTTCTCTCCTCTTAAGTGTTTCTTGATCTACTGTAGGTGCTTTACCCTCTTCTTCCTGCCTGCTCCTCTAGCTTTTTTGGCAGCGTCTTGTGATGATCAGTGTCAAACGCCTTCTTGCAGTGTATAAATATTCAGTCCACCTATCCTTCTCTCTCTCTCTCCTGCCTAACTTTAGTTCCCTTCTTACAGAGCTTTAGTGGATTTGTTGGAAAGAATTTACCGTCACGAAAACCGCGCGTTTATGAATCAGTTCCCTTCTAGGTGCTCCACTACTCTTTTAATAATCTTCCCCTTAATTTTATATACTACTCATATTAATGACACTGGCTTCTAGTTCAATGCCGTCTGTCTTGTCTTTTTAAAATACTGGGAATACCTTCTTTGTTTTCAGATTTATCTTAAGTGCCCTCTTTGCATAAACCCAGTGAAGATCACTGTTAGTGATTCACACAGCTTATCTGTTCCTTCTCGCACGACCCATGGAGAAATGTTGTCTGGACTCGTTGCCTTTGTGGTATTTAGCTCGCTCAGTAGTTACTTTACCTCTCCTCCTGTTGTCTGTACTATGTCCAGTACTCGTTGTTTCACTCTACCTCCTTGACTCTGGCATTGTCTCTGATTTCACTGTAAACACTTACCTAAATCTCATGTTCAACTCCTCACCTTTTTCTGCATTTCTTCCACACTCTTACTCTCTTAGTTTTTGCCTAACTGGACCTCTTGGAAAATTATGAGCTCACTCCGTTCTTGCTTGTGCTTTCCAGCTTTTTACTCCATCATTTTATTCGCTGCCTTTCCGTCTAGCTCCCTTTTCCACTGCACTCTGCTTAGGAATCATCTCATGCCATCATAATCTACTCTTGAACTCAGTTTTGTCCCTTCCTTCAAACTCTGTGTTTCCCTCCACATTCACTTCCACAACGTATTCGAACCTCAAGCGACATGATCATTAGCACTAAGAGGCCTCTCATATTCCGTGTTCCCTACGTCAGAGACACTAAGAATACATGGTCCAACTTCGCTATTTTGTCGTATATACTGCCTGTTTAAAATTGCCTATTTATAGCTACAGGGGCAGAGCTATGCTCGTGGTGTTCTTATCTTCAGTACTCTGTTCATCATATATTTCTTTTAAACCCAGTGGGTGTAGCATTTACAAATTAAGAGAGACTGATCACCAGGTCACTCTGACCAGACGCGTCAGTATAGACATTCTTCTAAGTTAGGAGTGTATGTGTAAAACCTTAGCTTCAAACCCATGATCTTTGGCAAGAAAGATGCGAGTGTATGGTCCCGTCTGGACGCCTGGCAAAAAAAAAAAAAAAATACAGGTGCTGAGCCTGAGACTAATTTTGCGAAGGCATCTGTGTGTGTGTGTGTGTGTGTGTTGTGTATGTTGTGTGTGTTGTGTATGATCGTGCGTGTATGTTTGTATGTATGCTTTAAACCCACTATCCTCCAAGTTCACCCCCACTCTCATACAACTCACTTTCATGACCCTGTTACTCACTTCTATACCCTTATAACTCGCTTCCATGCCTCTATAACTCCCATACACTTACAACTCACATGTCCCTACAACTCACTTCTATGCCCTATCAACTCCCAAACACGCTCAACTCATCCGTACAATCCTCGTCCACACACTGTTTAATGTGTCCATAACATTCCCCGAGTGTCAAGTACACAACCATACTAAATACACACTCACTTGTTCTCTCTGGAAGAATTAAGCTGATAAATGCAGAATCATTTCTAAAGGTATTTCCTGCTACTGTTTCTGTCTTGACATATACTGGGATAGGGGACGTAGGTTATTGAGAACAGCTGTTACTGGGGCCAGGCTTAATAAGATCAGCAATTACTGAAGAACAAGGGGTTATTGGAAGCGGGGAATATTAGAGACAGATTATTGGAAAAGGCTATTATGGGCAATAGGGAAAGATTGAAGGAAAGAAAAGTTGAAGACAGAGACAAATTCTTATACCATTTCATGCTATTACTTCTATTTTTTTTATTTTTGTATCGTCCTAGTCAGCCAGGCGATCATAGATCAGAGCCTAGATGCTAGTATATTGCCTAGTTATCGGTCAGCTTTACTAGCCAATCGAAACTCAGTACCAATACGACTGAATATTTGTGTGTTTAACTGTTAAATAACTGGCCAGATCATATCTTAGGTTCTCGAGTCCTGTACATCAACGACTTTCCTCGTTCAATTACTCGATAGACTTACCAGTTAATCATCAGTCAAGTTTACCAGCCAGTCAGAGTGCCATACCTAGGCTATTGTGGCGCCCAAAATTAAAAGTTGGAAATGTCTTTCCGTACATGGCTGTCCATGATCAAAGTGAAAATGAATGAATGTATGAATGATAAAAACTCTATAAATCGGAAAATATTTAGAGGTAGCTGGTAACATTTGCACATTCCGTGAATATTTGCAATAAAGCACTATCTATTCTTTCTATTTTTTTTTTTTTTTTGCTAACATATATTCATTTGAACATGTAAAAAAGTCAG